TTGTGACACTGAAGACAAAGAGTGAGCTGGTAGAGCCAAGTAATGGAAAAGAAAAATATTTTTCAGAAGTGAAAGCCACATAAGAAACTAGGTGTGGTAGTTAACTGACTGTTCAATTTGAGTAAGAAACGCCCAACTAGATTTTGTCAGCACAGTTCTGGGTATGGCAGACCCGCCCTAGAGAGGATTGTCACCAGAATGGAATAAAAGGGAAACAAGGAAGGCTCCTTGTTTCTGCAGAGGAGCTCCGGCCTTCACCTTCACCGTGCAGGCTGTTTCCTGGCTTCCAGCGCAGACCCTTCGGCCTCCTGATACGGACTCGAACGGGACGCTACGTGGAAGAGGGGACATGGATGCAAACCAACACACTCTGGCCTGGTAATAAACCCAGTATAGGAAGAATCAGGATCAGAGCTCATGAAAAGTCACAACATAAAATAGGCAAGAACAAAAATAGGGGAAATTGTTAGATGGGTAGAGAAGGTAATAATTATGAAAGAGAAGGAAATACAACACCTATAGTCACAGGTCCGGATAAGAGAATACGGCAAATGCCACAGGAGAGAGATTCAGGGCGACAGAAGAAAATGCTCCTAAAATGAAAATGTAAGAAACTTAGGATCAAAATATTTTTTAAAATTTTTATTTTAGTTTACCCCATTCCCCCTCCCCTCCCTATGTACAAAAGCTTTTGTTTCCAGTTTTCCTTCTATTTTCACTTTTTTCTTGTCCTTTCCTTTCTCCTTCTTTCCTCCCTTGTTCCCCTTCCCATTTGAACATTTCCATTGCCCAATATCTATTATACATTTTAGTCCTTATTTCCACTTTTATGGGACACAACCATTCCACAGCCCATGAGAAGGCAGCCAGAGCAAGGAAGAAGCTACTGAAGGGCACTGCTGTGAGCCCCACTGCAAAGGGACTCGTTAAGAGGCCCTTTCCACTTTTAGTTTCTCACTCCAGAGAAATAATGCTATATTTAAACGTGTGTATCCAATTTATTTCACTTAAGAGTGTGGTCTCAAGGTCCATCCATTTAGCTATAAATGTCTGAAACCCATCCTTCTTTATGGCAGAGTAGTACTCCATTGTATAAAAAACCCCACATCTGGGCTGGGGATTTAGCTCAGTGGTTTTGCCGCCTGCTGCGCAAGCGCAAGGACCCGAGTTTGAGCCCCAGTATAAAAAAAACAAAAAACAAAACAAAACAAAAACCCCACATCTTCCTTATCCATTCATTGGTTGATGGGAATGTGGGCTGTTTCCAAGATTTAATGATTACAAACTAGCCCCTATAAACATGGGTGCGCATATGCTGTGGTAGGATGCTTTTAATTCTTTTGGGAAGATACCAAGAAGAAAAATAGCTGCATCAAACAGAACCTCTAGTTTTAGTTTTTTGAGAAATCTCCACACTGATTTCCACAGTGGTTGCACTGTCTATGCTCCCACCAGCAGTGGGACAGGGTTCCATTTTCCCCACATCCCTTCCAGCATTTGTTATTGCTTGATTTCTTGACAGCAGCCATTCTTTCTGGAGTGAAATGGAATCTCAGTGTTGTTTTAATTTGCATTTCACACATGACCAGTGATGTTGAACACTTTTTCATATATTTGTTAGCCATTTCTTTTTTTTGGTACCGGGGATTGAACTCAGGACCTTGCGCTTGCAAGGCAGGCAGTGGCACCACTGAGCTAAATCCCAAGCCCCAATTTGACATTTCTACTTCATCTGAGAAGTGTTTTCATTTCAGATGCCCATTTTTGGATCAGGTCTTTAAATTTGGGGCAGAGTCTGATTTTTTTTGAGTTCTTTATATATTCTAGACAATAGTCTATCTGATGAATAGCTGGTAAAAGTTTTTCCCCACACTATAGGTTGTCTCTTCACTCTGTTGGTGGTTTCTTTCTGTCTTTTTTTTTTTTTTTTAAGACATGGTCTTGGCATATAGTTCAGGCTGGCCTTGAACTCACTCCAGTCATCCTGTCTCAGCCTCCCAAGTGCTGGGATCACAGATGTGCACCACCGTGCCCAGCTGTTGGTGGTTTCTTTTGCTATACAAAAGCCTTTTTTTTTTTTTTTGGTACCAGGGATCAAACTCAGGACCTTGCACTTGCAAGGCAGGAGGCGGAACCACTGAGCCAAACCCCTGGCCCCCCAAAGCTTTTTAATAAGATGAGGTCCCAGTTGTTGATTCTTTGTAGTATTTCCCATGTGGTCTGGGTTTTGTTCATGAAGTCTTTGCCTACTCCTGTGTCCTCAAGTGTTCTACCTATTCTCTCTTCCAGCAGATTTAGTGTTTCTGTTTTAATATTTAGATCTTTGAGAATCAAAATGTTTTAGAGATAGGATCTTGCTGTGTTACCCAGCCTGGCCTTGAACACAGTAGTTAGTGACAAACTACTAACTATTGTGTCAGCCTCCCAGGTAGCTGGGATTACAGGTGTGCACCAATGCGCCTAGCCAACCCCTGTCTTTACTGCTAGAAGATAGTTTAATAGTATTCCTAAGTCTGAGATAGACTGAAATACAAGAATCTGAAACCCAGCCATGTATCTTCCCAGCTTAAAGATGCCAGACTGATATTTGCAAGCAAGACTTCAGGGAATAGGAGGCTCATGTCCTTCTTGACAAAACTTGGTGACTTCAGTGAGCCGATGTGTTCGGCAGGTTAGGTATCTGGGAATCTTCCTCAACCATATTCCCAACAATCCTGCATAGAATTTTTTAATAAATATTTTTAAATTAATGGCAAAACTTACAAAAAATAAAAGAAAATACTCTGTAACCAGGAATCAATTGAGAGCCTAATTCTAGGGAGATGAATAAGCACTACAGTGCTGGCTACTCTGGGGGCATCTGCCAATTCCTGGCAGTCGGAGCTTTCATTTCCTAGGCTCCTGTCAGGTACAGGAGGCCCTGTCTTGAGCTATCAGAATGGGTGAAGCTCTGACTCCCCACATGAAGCCAAAGGACCACAGGGGGCATCACTCCCAGAGAGCAAGCAAACCGGAAGGAAACCCAGTCTTCCAAAGCAGACAGACAGGTGTATACAGGTGTAGCTCAGTGGAAGAGCCCTTTTCTAGCACGCACAGGGCCCTGTGTTTGATTCCCAGCACTGCAAAAAGAAAAAAAGCAAAAGATAGGTTGTGATGAAGTATTTTTTTAAATCAGTTGATGGTCTGAATGCAGACGATACTCCAGGCTGGATAGGACATAGCAAAAGTTTGGGGTTTTTTTAGCCTCCCGGTGCTTTATGATATTAGTCAGCAGAATGGGTTTATTCTTGACATCCACACCCAGAGAGGTTATCTTTGAAGAAACACCCCTTCTCCATCATCAATTAGATTTGAGCCCAAAGCTCTCTCAGTCCCTGCAAGTGTTCTTGTTTCCACTTTTGTCCCTATAGTTCCTCTACTTGGAATGCCCTTCTCCCTTCCCAAATATGAAAGTACTGGGCATTCCTGAAGACCAAGCTGAAAAGCCATTAGCACTGCAAAGCTTGAGATCGCCCAGCTCAGAGGCATTGCTCTGTCCTCTGTGCCCTGTGATCAGGCTAACATATCATACACCACCTTCAGTTGGAGTTGATATGATGTCTGACCCCCCGTGATAGTCAGCTACTGGAAGATAAACTGTGCTCTGTCCATCTTTGCAGCACTCTGCACCCTGAAAAGAACCAGCACTCAATTAGTGTTTGGTGTGTTAAGTTGAAGAGACTCGAACTGGAAACCCAGGGGTCTATTTCATCATTCTGAAAACTTCTTAGTTCCAGCTACTGTCATTTGTTGAAAACGGAGATTTCTGTGCATTTACAGACACAAATCAGAGGATCATTGGAGGACTGTTCAGAAGAGCATTGCCATGTATGCTGTCTCCTTTTGTGGGCCTCAGTACTTAGGAAGGACAGCACTCATCTGTCCCACCTCTCATGGGGAGAATGCTACTTAGCCTCAGTGTAAGCTCACAAACCCGTACCTGTGTCAGCCAGCTACTTTGGCAAGATGGAGCATTTTTATTCAGTGTTCCTACTGTCCTGACCCCCAGCCCTCAAAGGGGACCCCTAGGAGGTGGGTGCAGAGAAATAATGATGATAATAGGCAAGACTTTCATGGGGTTTTCTCCCAGCCAGGCACAGTTCTGAAATGCTTTACTCATAAAATTTTCCATGGTAGGCACTATTGATGTCCTGTTTTATATTTCAGATAACAGCACAGCTTACCCCAGCCACATACTTAGTAGGAACGGAGCTCAGACTGGCCTTAACATCACAGATAGCATTTGAATCTATGTTATTTCCAGTGCTGAGACTTAATCAACTCTCTGAGCCTTGATTTTCTTGTTTTTATAAAATGAACATAATAATCTCGTCTTTAGGATAAAGAGAAATTAAATGAGAACACTACAAAGCCTATGCTTTGTAGATGATTAATAATAACTATTTTGAAAACAGTAAAATGGCCAGGCACAGTGGCATGCATGATCATGTGAGCCCAGGAGTTCCAGGACACCCTGGGCAACATCTCCAGACCCTGTCATTAAAAAAAAAAAAAAAGGATCAAATGGCAGCATTAAAAAATATTAGCATTGTAGCAACTAAGGCATGGCCAGGGTAAATGTGTTTTCATGCTAGCAAAATCTCCCCTGGGGCCAAGGATTTAGCTCAGTGGTTTCATCGCCTGCTGCGCAAGTGCAAGGACTGGAGTTTGATCCCCGGTACCAAAAAAAAGAAAAAGAAAATCTCCCCAAGTCCATTCTTTGTCAAGTTATGAAGATAGTTTGATTCTAGTGTGAAAAATTATTTCCCTCTAGCAGGATTTCACAAGAAAATACCACATCTGACATGTAACACAGACTGAATATTCTTCCCACCAAATGAGCGCCCCCCCTGCATGTGATGTTTTTGCTGATCATATTACATTGAGCTATAATAAAGGATAGATCAGGCTGACAAAAATTGAAAAATTAAATGCAAAGATCACACTGAAGCCATCCAAAATAGCCTGATACATTTTAATTACTCTGTTTTAGCTTGCTGCATCTTAAAACATTTTCTTTCAAATCAAGTCACAGCTGTGTGTACTTTAGGCTGTGGCCATCATGAACAAATATGAAAAGAAGCAGAGTTAGAACAGATGAATACCAATGGTTATCCATTAGTCTGATGTAATGTGACACAATGACCATTAAGAGACTTGTGAAGAAATTAGCGAAACAATGTCAAATATACATTTCTGCATATGTGAATGACAGCTTTTGCTAGTGCCTGTTATCTGGTTTGGCGAAGGTTATCATTCTTTTAGAAAGTCAAAAAATCCTCCCCTCAGAATGACTCTCAAGTTAGAGCAGTGGAAGATAAATACATTTGAAGTTGGTAAAGTGAGTACTCTCCTCCTTCTGGAGGAAGTGGAAATGTGTTACCATGGAAACTCACCATCCCTCTGCCTGCAACAACTGATTTAAATATTTTGGCAAGGAAAATGTTACAATCCTCTTCTGTTCCCACCACCTCCTCTTACAGTTCCTCAACTCACCCTTACAACTGGAGTTCTACAAACCAATTAGACTTAAATGGTCAATTCTAGGAATGGCAGATTTGGTCAGATTAATTTTCCCTGCATAAGGGATGTCGTATTGAACTGCTTGGTTTGAGAGTGGCTGAAGAGATAACGACACTTCAGAAGCATGCCAGTAGAGTGTGACTGCTCTCTCACTCAGTGACGTTGCACAGTGAATGGGACCAGCAGTGGGAGTAGTGTGGAGTTCTACGTTCTTTCACAGTTCACTTGCAGGAACAGCTCAAGTGTTGCTTCATCTTCTGATCATAACAATTTGTCCTCATTGGATGCTGTGACCTGTACCCCTTGGTGGGAGTTGTTTGCTTAGATCTGGAAAATCTGAACTAGTTGTTTGGCTGGGAACACAAGTCAAAGATAAAGATAGCCGGGCTGGGGGAAGAGCAGAGCTGGGAGGAGCTCTCCTGTTGGTCACCTACAACAGGGGGATCTGTCCAGGTTGAGAACGGAGCTTTTCCAGAACAGCATGAACTTCCTCAGGATTATAGTTCCAAGGACCAGATTTACCCTGCAAAAGAAATGAATCATGGATTCCCACATTTCCAACGTGCAAGGAATACGCATGTCTGGAGCTTGCTTGTGAGACGTGGGCTAATGGTCTATGCAGGAGTCGTCAGTGCAGCTCAGTCAATAGCAGATGCAACCGTGGGGCAGATCAGACCACCCTGGGAAAGTGTGTGGAGTGGCACCGACATTTAACTGGAAGACTGGACAGAGAAGTGGGTGGAAACTGGGACAGTCAAGTGACAGTTTTAGAAGGAGAAAAGGCTCTATACACATAAGCTTTTCTTCCAGCATCAACCTTCAGACCCACCTTGCTTCTTTTCCAGTTCTCACACTGAGTTCTGCCATTCTACATCAGTGCCTCCTCTGCCTGTCCAAGCCCTCTGCCCTACCTGGCCCTCCTCACCCACTACTTGGTCAGCGGCCATACCTCCCAGCCATCCCCAGGGCCTGCTCCCTACAGCCCGTTCTTCACCATGTGGCCAATGACCTTATCAAGTAAGGGTCAGATTGTTCCTCTTCCCCCTCCAAACCCTTCAATAGCTCTTCTTTGCCCTACAATGAAGGCCAGACTCCTTGGTCCAGAGCTCTGTTCCCCAGATGTCCCCAGTTCCCTATTCATGGCCTGCTCTAATATGCCCCTGTGCCTTTGGCCACCTTGTTCCCTCTATTTGTGGTGATTTTCACTCACCACGCTTACTTGGCTGGCTCCTTATGCTTTCAGGCCCAAACATGCCCCAGCCTCTAAAATGCCCACCCTTCCTCAGGGCTTGGAAAACCTGCATTCTGGGAACCATATCAGTCCTGATGCCTCACACTGTTACCTTTACGAATTTGTCTGTGGCTCCCTCTGCATTATAACAGCAGGATGGAATTTTTAGGGATTCAGTGGTTGTTTGGTCCACAAAGTGAGCAACATTTACTGTTTGGCCTTTTACAAATCCTGCTCTGGGGAAACTGTGCTCCTACTCTTATTTGGGTCTTCCTTGTCCCCAGACCATGAGCCCCTTGAAGTAGGGTGGAAGTCATTTTTAATTCAGTTTTGTGTTTCCAGTACTTGCACAGGGACTAACCCAGGGGGTTGGGGGGAACGACTCAGTCATGCTGGGTTAGACCCATGATGAGGGAAGGTGGAGGGCAGAACTTGCATCCTGTACTGTGGCCCTTGGCACCCTGAGGCTCCATTCAGGGGATGTTAGAATTGAAATCAAAGAGCTGGGGATTTAGTTCAGTGGTTCTGCTGCCTGCCTTGCAAGTGCAAGGTCCCGAGTTCGATCCCCAGTACCAAAAAAAAAGAAATCAAAGCCTTCCTAGTGACTTTGGGAGTGTCAGTTCCCTTCTCTGAGGACCATTTATAAAATGGAAGCAACATTTTATATCTCTCAGTTTAACACCAAACCAGGGTTGGGCTAGTCTTCTGGGTTCAGAAGGCAGCCAGGAGGATGCAGCTAGGGGCTTCCGTGAATGTCATTTCATCCCCAGTGAGGTGGGGACCAATCTCCTCATTTTGCAGAAGAGGAAACTGAGGCTCCAAGAGGCAAAGGACCACTCATGGTCACATGGCTAGCAGTGATTTGAATCCACATCTCCCTGATTACAAAGCCCTCTTTTTGCCCTTACCCTCTGTTGACACCCTTGCCCTCAATGTCCCCCCTGCACCCAGGTCACCACCTTATAGAGGATCCTGCCCTCCTGGAGTACATAAAGCCTCTCAGGCAGAGCCGCATAGAGCTGGCTGCTCTGGTTCTGCATGGTGTCCACCACCACAGGACACTGGGGGGTCTTGGTCAGCAGCAGGTGGGCTGCCCGCATGCGGTCCTGGAGGTTCCGGTGCTGCCTGATGTCCATGTTGTTCTTAAAGGCCCAGCCATCTGCAAGAGAAAGGTCAGATGCTGAGGCCCCACAGGCATGGCACACACTTCCTGCACACCAAACACCACCTCCTTTTAGTGAAAGTCCCAGACAGAGGCACCTTCAGCCATGATATGACCCAGTTTCTTATTAGAGGTGAATGCACAAGGTCACCTAGGGACTTACTGATTGATCCAGAGCTGGCCTCAGCTCTTCACTGTGAGATAGTCCAACAGATACATGGTTCTTGATCATTAATGTTCACACAGATCACTCAGGGACATTGTTAAAAAGGAAGATTAGGATTCAGTCTGGGAGCAGAGGCAAAGTTCACCTAGCTCCCAGGATGCCATGGCCACTGGTGCCTGGCCCACACTTGGCGTGGCAGGAGTCTAGAGCAGTGGCCATCTAAGTGTGTGGTCCCCAGCCCAGCTGCAAAAGGATACTGTACCTTATAGTAATGCAAATTCCCAGGCCCTACATTAGGCCACCCAGGAATGAGCCCCAGCAATCTGTATTTTAGCAGCCTTCTAGATGATTCTAAGGCACAGTGAAGTTTAAGAACTACCATTGTAGAACCTAGACATCCTCTTCTATTTGTCTCCACAATATTCTTTCCAAAATACAAATCTGACCATGTCACTCTTCTACTTAGACCTTTCAGTGCCTCCCTGTCACCCCCAAGACACAGCCCAGGCTCATCAGTGAGGCCCACGAGGCCCTCGGTGTGACCTGACCCTACTCCAAGCAAATGCGTGAACTACTTGGATTCCTTGACTCACTGACCGCCAATCTGTCCCTTGCCTCCACCCTTTTTTGTTATAGTAGCTGCCTCATAATAAGCCACTTAACAGTGAGCTCACAGCCAACTACACCTGCTGGCCTGGTCATGGCCCTTATTCTCATCCTCTCCTACCCAGTCCTCCTGCCTTCTAATCATATGCCTTCCAGCCCCTCATCCTGCCTGTCCTTTAGAGACTCAGCACAATGGGCGTATGAGTTGAAAAAGTGACCATTTAATGAACCACTGATGGTCTTACTGCATTGCTGGGCAATGTAATGCTAGGTTTCCTCGGAAGCTACGTGGCCTGTGTGTACAATAATTATTGCTTCTGTGGGTGATGAAAGTTGATTAAATCTACCGGTAGAGTATGTTCTACCTCCTCAGGGCTTCCAGGTCATCTTGCTCAATACCTCTCCCCCAAGTTAAACCAGCTCTCTAAAGAGATTCCCATCAAGACCCAACTGTCTGGCCAGAGCTTAAGGCATTATTACTTGTCATCAAATTTGTTGATGACTATAACCAGTTTATCTGTACCATGGTAGGGCAGCCTCACCTTCCATTGGCCCATTAGAGCTTCATAGCAGCCTCCCCTGGGAGGCCAAGCAGAGTTTCTCAGTCCCAAGAAATAGCTGAGAGCATGAAGACCAAGAGGGGAGGAGCAACTTGCCTCCCCTGTAGAAATGTGAGTTTCTTGGGCCGGGGATTTAGCTCAGTGGTTTCGCCACCTGCTGCGCATGCGCAAGGACCCGAGTTCAATCCCCGGTACCAAAAAAGAAAAAAAGAAAAGAAAAGAAATGTGAATTTCTTACAAGAAGGAACTGCATGTGTCTCTTGTCCCTATCTCCCCAAGTCAGTACAGGCCTGGGCACATGGCAGGTGCTCATTAAATATTGTCAACTGAACAGTTCTGAGGGAGGTGTTGTCATGCCATTTTTGTGGTAGAGAACTAGGCATGAAAAGTAAACTGACCGGGCCAAGGATTTAGCTCAGTGGTTTCGCCGCCTGCTGTGCAAGTGCCAAGGACCAGAGTTTGATCCCCAGTACCAAAAAAAAAAAAAGTACATTGACCAAGGTCACATGATCAGCACATACTACAGCTGCACTCACACCCAAAGGTGTGATCTTCCTACTACACTTTGTGCCTCCCTGTATTTTCCTGGACAAACATGGTGTGTGAGGAAGAACAAGGTGACTGATTTGGGCTACCAACCCCAGACCTCCTAGTTTTGATGGACACTGGCTGTAAACACTTTATTTCTGAGGTTCTAACCATGCCCAGTTCTGTCTGATTGATAGAAACAAGGACCCTGGGAAAGGAGATGGGGAGGAGGAAGAATTGTTTGTAGTAGGAGGGCGAGGCACCAAGGTAAGAAACTGGACCGTGTCAGGACGAGGCCAGGAAGCCTTTCCTCTGTAGCTTGAGGCAGACAGCTCTGGTTCTAGGAAGGGTTAAACCTGCCTGTCTAATTTCAGGGAAATTGTGTCAGGAGATAGGTATCAGGACCAGGAAGCACAATTAGCTTAGGGATGGTCCAACCACTCTTATTGCAGTTTGCAGTTTGTTCTTTGGGAGATCAAAGCTGGATCCTAGGACCCTGTTACTCAAAGTGTCCCTGGACCAGCAGCCTTGGGCATACCTGGGTGCACCTCGTCCCTCCTGAGCCAGCATCTGCCTTTCACTCAGATTCCCAGGTGATTTGTGCTCACATTAAGGTTTGAGAAGCACCTCCCCAGGAGGCTAAATAAGCTTTGACTGAGCTGCAGCTGTCAGCTGTGGTGATATCAGGACTTTGTCTCTTAGCCAAGGACACCAAAGTCACTGTCCTAGGTCTCTTTCTTTAACTGATGGCTGCTGCTCTCACAAAGGAGGGGTGTGTGTGTCACAAACAGACACACTGTGCTGGTGTTTGCTCTCCTGTTCCCTAGGCTGGATTTTTTTTAAAAGGCTTTATTATGGAAATTTCAAATATATAGAAGATAGAATAGTATAATGAATCTCATCATGTACCTCTTACCCTATGATGATATTTTAAATTGTCCCAAAATTTTAATGAGGGATTTTAAATTGCCCCCAAATCTTAATGAGCACAGAAGCTGCAGTTAAATGAAGACAGTATTAAGTCGAAAACAGCTTTCAAGCCTTTGGAGCTGTATGAATCAATATGTACCAGGCTTGGTGTGCAGCTCTGGGATAAGTGTTTTCCACAAACAATCCAGGTAGTTCTGTCATTAAGAGATCCAGAGACCACACTGGAAAAAGCACTACTGAACCAACTTCGCTGAAAATTCGTCAGCACAGTCTCTTTGCATATAGCACAAAGACAAGCCAGCAAGGCCAGCATTGGCCCAAACAAGCATTTGCCCAGTGGCTGCAGCACTCTGGCTGTGACAAGGACTCTACAGAGTGCTGCATGAGAGCTGCAGCTCACACTGCACCTCTGCTGTCTTGTGGAGAGGCGAGTAAGTAAAGGGCACTGGCTCCCCCAGCCGCATAAGCCTTCTTGCCCAACTCTTAAACCTCAGATGTGAGACTTGGGCCAAATTCATGGGCTCAGTCCTCATGAAGATGAGAGAGATAGATTGTGACACAGTACCTGGAGGGACTTTTCTGCCCACTGTAAGGAAAACTGACTCACTTCTCAGCTTTCTCAGCAAGGGAACAGGATTTCCTGTGGAATGGTGGTGATCGGTGACCACCAGCTAGGAGCTGGAGAGAGGATCCCCATCCAGACAGAAGTTGCTGACAACAGTGGTTCTCTAGGCTCGGTCCCCAGACCAGTAGTGTCAGCATCCTTGGAACACATCAGAATACAAGTTTTCAGGCCTGTCCCAGAGCCACAAAGGCAGTCTGCTGTAGCCAGTGTTGCAGGGGCTTCCAGTGCTCACAAAAGGCTGTGAATTACTGACCCAGGTGATCTGTAATGTCCTTCTGAGCCTTAGGGTGTTCTCTCCTGATTTCCCTATTTATCCATTCAAAATGTTGGAATGCAGAGGAGCATAGTGGCTCATGCCTGAAATCCCAACACTCTGGGAGGCTGAAGCAGGAGGATCCCAAGTTCAAGCCCTGCCTGAGCAAGCTAGTGATTTAGCAAGACTCCATCTTAAAATTAAAAAAAATAAAAAGGGCTGGGGATGTAGCTCAATGTGAAGGCACTGGATTTGACTCCCAGTACCCCCTACTGGAGAAAAACAAAAGAAAAGAAAAGAAATAAAAGAGAGAAAGTTGGAATACTCTCCAGACAAGCCCTGTCTCTCCAGGTCTTCCCAAATGCATGCCTGATTGGAAGCAGACTGCTGAGAGTGAGGGACTGGGAGGTGGTGGGGGCCCAGTGAACAGCAGCTCTTTCCCCTTCCCCTCCGCCAAGTGGAAGGGGAGGGGAAGCTGGGTGGGAGGAGGTAGAGGCAGAGAACCCTTCAGTACCTGAGGCGTGCGCTTCTTCAATGTAAATGATGAGAAAATCTGCTATGAGATGAAAGTCTTCAATAAGTCTCTTAAATTGGTCAAATTTGAACATAAACGAAGGTCAGGTACAACTTCCAAAATTCAGCACCAGTGGCCTGTTGCCTAAAATAGAAAAGAAACCATCCTAAACCAAGAATCTACACCGTTTTCTTTGGCAAGCAGCACCTTCTCTCTTACGTTCAATACCGCTATCTTTCTTGGCTGCTAAGGACGAGTCCCCAGCACAGTGTGGGGACCAAAGCCTAGCAGGGATTGCTTAGCAGGGCTGGAGCTGGTTGTTACTTTTCTAAAATGAGAGGGTTTCGTTAGGTGGTCTCAGTGCACCACTTGCAGACACAAGGTTAGCGAGAATGATGAATGAGGAGTCCCTTTCATGCAGTTTATCAGGCAGGCAGGGGTCCATTCTCTTGTGTGATGTTATTGGTAATACCCCAGGGTAGGTAAAGAAAGTGAGGTTCGAAACACCTCAGTTCCCTCACCTACAATTGAACAAAATTATAATACATACTTGACAGGATTGTTCTGATGATTAAGTAAATTAGTACTGATAAGGGCTTAAAATGTTGCCTAACTTCTAGCAGATGCTCAAGATACACAAGCTATTGCTGTAGCTCTTATCTCCCTGAGCTCTGAAGCAGGGAGACAGGGAAGGGGCTGCACAGAGGGGTGAAGGGTGGGAGCAGGACGTGCTGCAAAATGAAAATGCAGGGCCCCTGTTCAAACACCAGGGGCATGTGCTATTAATTTTATTAAACTAGAAAGATTTCCCCACCCTTTCTCTCTCCTCTCTCCCTCTCTCCCTCTCCCCCTCTCCCCCTCTCTCCCTCTCTCCCTCTCTCCCTGGCACAGTGTTTTTCCGTTGCCATTTGCTGGGAGCAATGAGGTAGATCACTATGTCCTAACTGGCCTCCTCCTGCAGAGGGCGTGGTGGAACAAGGCCTGGCATAGAAGAGGACTATCTTCCTTCCCACCCATTCTGGAAAAAAACATGAAGCATTATCTCCTGCAGACCTTACCCATTCTCCCTGTTCCAATCAGGCATCCCCTTTTGCTTTCCTTATCCACCCTATAAATAAAGGTGCTGAGGATGCAAGCCAAGCTTTTTGTCTCATCAGGACAAAGGGTTTCCACCTGGTCTCAGCTGTGTAAACTTTACTATTTTTGTCTTTTTTTTTTTTTGGTACCAGGGATCGAACTCGGGTCCTTGCATTTGCACAACAGGCAGCAAAACCACTGAGCTAAATCCCAGGCCCTGTCTTCTTTGTCTTATTCTTTAAGTTTCTTAATCTCTCACCATCGTTTCTCACTCAGTGAACCCTTCAGCTATGTGGCCATTCAGTGTCACGGCAGCCATCCAGTGTCATGCTCCCCTGGCACACAAGGAAATGCACAGGGTAAAGCCTTACTGTCACCCTGTATCCCTGCAGCCAAGTGGGCATGTGCATGTGTGCCTGCGGCCTCAGGGCACCCGCTTCCTCCTCCCTCTGGCCACCAGACCCACATAGCATGTGCCAGCCAGGAGCACAGGATCCAAGCCAGACCTTTGCCCTTCCTACCCACACACCACTCCAGCTCACAGCATTCGGGGCCATGCTGGGCACTCTGATGGGGGAGGGGAGACCAGCGGCTTCTCCCTAAGGGTAGCTCAGCCACTTTCCAAACTGCACCATGGCACTAAGTCCAGGATGGAGATGGCAACCCCTGTACCCTGCCACAAGACGCTGAGGGATGCCCACATCAGACCTTGACCCTCCCTGTTCTCAGACTCAGGCCCTCCCTGGGGCCGGAAGGCAACAGCAGCCACTGGGTGAGAACAGAAAGAAGGGCCTTGGACAATGTGTCCCAAGGAGGTAGGGAGCTCAGCAGGGAGGCAGCCTCCCAGTCCTCAGAAACTTTGGTCCCTTTGGACTTCACTTACAGAGTGCAAATTCAAAGAGAAAATTACGAAGAATTTTACGACAACTGCCGTGCAACACTAATCCCCAACTATGAGGCCCTTTTGAGTATGGGGCCCTGCCCAGGAGGCCAGGGCCCGAGCCTCGTGTAATTCCCTGGCCTTGATAGGATAGCTCTAGGGAGCTGCCAGAGCCCAGTGGTTTATTATGCCCAGAGCCAAAACATCGTTGAGCCCTTACTTGGTCCTGTGTGTGACATGACCAGTGAAGTGTCCACATTCCCAGGGTACTCATTGCCTCTTGAGCGCTGGGATTCTATCTATATCTCTGCCTGCACACAGTTTGAAGTCTGTTTAATGAGGAGACAGGTCAAAAGCAAGTAAACATGGAAATGAAGTTATTTTGAATACTGACAAGTGTTATGTAAGAGACCATAAAGGAGTGGCCTACTTTTGTGCGTGTGTGTCTGTGTGTGGTTTTTGAGACAGGGTCTCACTGTGTAGTTCAGGCTGGCCTTGAACTCATGGCAATCCTCTTGCCTCAGCCTCCTGAGTGCTGAGATCACAGGCATGTGCCACCGTACTCACCAGGAATGGCCTACTTTAGACAGGGAGGTCAGGGTGGGCTTCCACGGAGCTGCCATTTAACCTGAGAAGTGAAGGATAGCAAAGAACCAACCATGGGCAATTCTAGGCAAAGTGATTTTGTGTACAAAGTCCCTGAGGAGAAGCAGAGCTTAAATTGTTCTAGGTCCTTCAAGATACTGGCTGGAACCAGGCAGGAGAAGCAATAAGAGAGATGACTGAAGAGCAAGGAGCCAGAGCAGGAAGCTCTCTCGAGCCTTGGTGAAGAATCCAGATTTTATTCTGGGTGTAAAGGGAAGTCATGGAAATATAAAGCAAGAGTGGTGGACATTATTGTAATTTTGGCTGCTCCTACATCTCCTTTCTACTTGGAATTCCCTTTTGTGGGTATTGTTGAGAGAGTGTGCCCAGTGATATATTTGACTCTGAGTTTCCTGGTGGCCCAGTAACAGGATAAGCAATTAGTTATGTATCCCTAATGGGTCTGTAATGAGGAGAAAGTAAGATGGTTTCTCTGGGATGCGAAGCTCTCCTGGCTTTGGCTCACGGCTTATCTGCATGGGAGGCCCTGGGAGGTACTGAGTGGGCCTTGGCCCTGCTGGCGGATTGTGGGATGATTTCTCATGCTACAGGGAGGCCCAGGCCTCAACAGGGGAGGCTCCAAGGTCAGTCATGGACTGGCTGGTCATTGGACTCCAGTGACCCCTGGGAGTCACTCTTTAAATAAGAAAAGTCCTGACTTCAGGTCAGGACCATATCTAAATATTAGCTGTCTGGAATTTTGTTTTTAATTGACAAAAAATTCAACACCGGCTGATTAGGACCCTGCAAGGGACAGAGCCATTTGTTTAATTATTTATAGTGTGGCTGAGTACAGTGATCAGTATTGAGAGCAAAGTTTCAACTGGGTTCCCCACTTTCCTGGGAGCAGAGAGAGGAAGGATGGGAACAGGAGGGTGCCTCTGCAGTGAGCGGGCACCCTGCCCGTGTCTATAGGCCACAGGGCAGAGAACACAATTTTAAGAATGTCTGGCAAGGACTGTCAAGTTGTATAAATGGGAAAAGAGCTCTGTAGTAGAGCTGGACTCAGACCCACCCTCCTGGCTGCCAGACCAATAAATTACCCCCCATGCCAGGCTCTCTCAGCAGAGAATCCCACTTATAGTTACTAGACAACACTCCCTTAGTCCACTGGAGAGATTTCAGGAGATTTTAAACAGGGGCTAAAGTAAAGCCGGTTTTAGTTGAACTCTTTTTTTAAAAAATTAATTTTATTGGTATCTTTTAGGTATACAATATAATAACATTCATCATTGGAAATTTGCACCTTTACATAATCTCTCCTGGTTATTTTTTCCCCATTCCCCTGCCCTCCCTACAGCTGAACTCTTAAGTACTCAGAAAATAAATCATCTGTATGTTGTTTTCTGCACAAGATGTCAGTTAATGTTTTACCGTGTGTGTGTGTGTGTGTGTGTGTGTGCGCGCGCGCGCACGCGCGCGCTTGTATATGGACATGCACAGGATAGGAGATGGCTGAGAACCTCTCTGAGCCCCTGTTGTCTTATGCAACACAGAAAGTGTGCCCCTGGGGAGTCAGAAGGCAACTTCTGGCTGACTAAAAACTTGCTGTGTGACTCTGAACAAGTCATTTACCTCTTTGGGGCTTTGCATCTGAAAAATGAAGGAGTTGTTTTGGTTATCTGTAAATGATCTTCTAGGTCTCCCAGTCTATGGCTCTAAAATGAGTTCAGAGTTTATACCCAAAATATACAACAGAGCATTTTAATGACCTGGCAGCTTCCCAAGCAGTTACATGATGTCTTTCAAATAAGCAGAACTGATCACTTTCGCTGTCTATTGGAAAACCCTTCCAGAACTCACCAACACCCTCAGGTCATGTCTACATGACACAGAAGTCCCCTTGCTCTGGGCCCTGATGATATCCTCAGCCTCATCTTGAACCCAGGCTTGCCTCTTGCACCCCACTTCCGCCAAACCTAACAGTGATTCTCTGCATCCTTTGCTGTTCCTTGGCTGTTCTGCCCTCTCCCCAAGCCCTTCTTCATTCACCCCAAGTCTTTCCTGTCCCTAGACACTCAGCTGTCCTCCAAGCAGTCTTTCCTTGGCCACTTCTTTAACCCATCCATGAGGCTCCCTTTCCCAGAGCCTTCTGCTCCCCTTTCACTACTCTCATTCTGGGTCCTGAGGTCTTCCGGACAGAGGCCAGAGGTGTTTATTTCTGAATTGCCAGTGCAGTGCTGAAAGCGGATGCCAATAGCGAAATGAAAGGCTTCGGTTTGGTCCTGCCTCTCACTCTCCTCTTCTTGTCCTCTCTCAGTCTCAGTTGAAGCAGCAGGGATTGAAGACAAATTGAACTCTTTCTAACTGAAAGTGGACAGTTAAATGATGCCCGTGGATTCTGTGAAGCAGCCCTGAGGCAAGTTAGTTTTTAGGGAACTGATCTTCAGAGGACTGACATTCAGCACTTTGTCCTGTTCTGCACAATGCCTGGCACATAGCAGACACACCGTAACAGTTAGTTGTTATTTCTCATTGCTGTTATTATCAGCAGTTATTTGATGAAAGTTCATTGAATAAATTGAGATCTTTGGTGTACTGTCGTTTAAAATCACGAATGAACAAAAGAAACTATTGTCCTTTTCTCAGCTTAAAGCACTCTTTCCTCTCACACTATAAAAATCCCACTCATCCTTCAAGCCCTAGTTCCTAAGCCACCTCTTCCAGGAAGCCTTCTGAAATCACATGTTCACAGTTTCCTCCATCCCACCGGACTCTCAGGATTTATTACATCATCTGTTGTGTGGAGTCATAAAGTCCTTGAGCCAAGGAACAGGCTTTTACCTGAGGGCCTGGCTCACAGGAGGTGCTGTGCTCGGAAATGCTTGAGGCACACTGGGATTCTGGGTCTGACCTGTCCCTCACTGGCTGTTACCTCAGCCTCTCAGTGCTCCGTTCCCTTCAATGACGAGAGGATTGGAGAAGGTCAGCGATTCCCAAAGAGTGTTCTCTGGAGCTGGTACAATGAGCATAGGTATTTCCTCAGGTGGAGAGAGGGGAGTGCGTGCGTGCATGCGTGTGTGTGTGTGTGTGTGTGTGTGTGTGTGTGTTAGCAAAGCCAGTCAGGGCTGTGTTAAGTAATGCTTTTTTTCAAGTTCCATGTATTTGTTTTTAAGCTTTAAGGTTTCTCACAGCCTTTTGTACACTTAGTATATTATGAATTCCCGGAAGGATGACAGAGAATGGGAACTCTATATGGTAAAGCGTATCTGGGGGACTGGGGTCCAAAGAACATGGTAGGAAAACCCTAGATTAGCCAGCTGCCTCAAGGGCCTTCTGTGCATGCCTGCTGCTAGGCCCTGGGGTAGCACGCTGAGGATGGCTGAGGTAAGTTAGACACAGCCTTCGCCTGAGTCTCCCTGTTGGGCAGGGAGCTTTGGTAGCCAGATGGTTGATAGAAAGAAAAGTGTCAAGGAGAGGTGTGAACAGGGAGGCTGCCTCCAGAAGGGACAGAGAGCATGGCTAACCACAGGGATCTGAGTTGTCATCAGGACAAGGCCCAAGATGTATACCCTGAGGCATGAGGGATGTGGACCCTTGGCCGAAGAGAATGGTGCTCTGAATCAACGACAGTGTGGGCAGGGCAAAGAGAAGGGACGGCACAGGATAGAGGAGGCCCCACACCTGTCTCAGGACGTGAGTGCGTGTGAGGTCTTGGGGATGAAATTGGGGGAAAAGTCAGAGCCTGACCCCAGAGGAACTTGGATGGCAGGCTGAACCTGTGCCTCACTGAAATTCAGAAGGGGGCTGCAGAGAATGCTGAGCTGGGGTGTCCTCTGAGAAGAGCAATCCAGCAGACACCTAAATTTGGGTGGGAAGAGAGGGCAAGAGGAGGAAAAGGAGGTCCTGGTAAGAAGAGAAGTTGTGAAGATAAAGAGAACTGAATGGTGAGGTCTTCAAGAACCCACATTCATGGTGCTAGTTTGCCTGGATCTGGGGGAAGGAGAAGGGCTGAGAGGGAGGGAGGAAGAGAAAGAGAGAGCATCAAGTATTTACTGAGCAACTGCCACGCATGAGGCCTAGGGTGCAACAGGGGGTCAGAACTATAGTCTCAACCTGCACAGAGTTTTCAGCTAGTGAGGGCATCACACCTAAGTCAATACCCACACACGATTGTAACTGGAGTGGCTTTAATTTAAAAAAAGAAAAAGCTTAAAATGTTAATCAAGCACATAGGAGAGGGAACCTAGCCTGGGGAGTTCGGATTGGCTTCTCGAGGGAAGTGCCGCTGAGCAGAAGGCTGAGGATGAAGAGGATTTCAGCAGGCACAGATAGGCACAGGGGGTCCCAGGCAGAATAGATATCACGGTAAGAATGATATTCAAGGGGGTGAAGCCCACAGTGGGTGGCTCATGGTTTGAGTGCCTGGAAAGGCGCTGATGCTGCTCAGAGAAACACAACCCTGGAGAATTTCTAGTTCCCTGAACCCCCAAAAGAAGCAGCTAGAGTAGTAGTGGAATTCCCAGCAGTCCCCCTTCATCCCCCTGTGACACCCTGCAGCAGGCGCCTGAACACGGAGCAGCCTCCTGACCTTGCATGAAGTCCCAGATGGTGCACTTCTGTCCCGAGAGGCAGACTACCGAGCAATCCGGGGCCAGACCACCTAGCTCAGCTGTGTCCTCCAGCCGCTGCCAACGGACCTTCAGGATGAACCAGAAATACTGGGTGCTGAAGAAGGTCGGGATCCAGTTGTCATGGGAAAACTGCGGATTCCTTGTCATCCCAGTCTTCTGGCCCATGGCCAGGATGTTTTTCTTGATTCTGTCTGGAAACAGTGTCATTAGCACTTTGCCCATGGCTACCTCCACAGTCACCTGCACAAGCACCCAGAGCCTCTTCAGCCATAGCCCTGGACGGGGCAGCCCCATCTCTGCGGCACAGCTAGCACTGGCTCTGAGGCTGGTGGACAGGGAGGCTGCAGCCAGGCACTGTGGGGTGGGGTGGAGCTGAGCAAAGGTACAGAACAGAGCAGCCAACCCCAGACAAGAGGCAGGTGTCAGGGTGGGAGGTATTTGCCTTCCTGTCAATAAAGCAGAAGATTCCAAACCAGCTGCACAGAGGTCTGTCCTAATTTACTGTCATTTTAGATTCTGTGCCTTAGCTTTTGAGATATTTTTGGATTGGGAGATGGCAGATCTTAAATTCTCCCTCTGATTAAATTTTAAAAGCAAATACTTAAGGGCCAGGGATTTAGCTCAGTGGTGCCACCACCTGCCTCGAAAGTGCAAGGTACTGAGTTCGATCCCTGGTACCAAAAAAAAAAAATACTTACAAAGATCCACACTTAAAGGGACCCTGTTTAAAGATCGTCGTATTGCAAGTGAATAGCTTCCAACATTAATTATTCTTTTAATAAGCTAAGTGGTTCTTTTACTAATGAAATATAGTTGTCTCCCTCACAGCTTTCAGCTGGTGGTTGAGTATTTCTGGTGGCAAAGCCCTTGCCAGGGGATAAGGATCTGGACTCTCCTGGGGCAGGGACAGAGCTGGGGCCAACCCCAAGGAGATCTGGGACCTGCAACCCCCCCTTAGCACCTCTCTGGTCTCCCAGAGGACAAGATCTAGTGCAGAGAAAGGACAAGTAAACAGAAAATTACCATTTACTGTGTTGGGGGAGGGGCAGAGGACGTGGCTGCTAGGGAGTGTGGAGAAGGGGTGGCCAGTTCTGTTTAGAGCAGTCAAGAAGACTTCCCCTGAGGGAGTGATGTCTAGGCTGAAACCTGAAAGACAGCACGCAGTCACCCAGGCAAAGCAGGGTTAATGATCCCGTTGCAAGGAAACACAGGGCCAAAGCCTGAAAGGCCAGAGAGAGCACAGCTCATAGAAGCTCAGAGTTGGAAAGTAACACATCTAAAACCACTTTCTTTTTGAAACAGGGAAACTGAACCCTAGAAAAAGGTTAAGTCTCCTGCCTAGAGCTGCTTCTGGTCTCAGTAATCACTAGGTATTAGATTACCCCTCACAAAGGCGTTTACATACCTAAATACTCTTTGGGTGTCACTAAGGGCGGGGTGACTGGAAGGGTTGCACAAGAGCTGGCTGCCACTATCTGGGGTCCAATAGTCTTTACTGCATTAACTTTTGGTTTGGTTTGTTTTTTGAGAAAGGGTCTCACTATGTAGTTCAAGCTCCCCTTGAACTCTGTCTGTCGCCCAGGTTGGCTTACAACTGCAGGTGATCTTCCTGCCTCAGCCTCCAAGTGCTGGGATTACACGTGTGGGCCACCATACCCAGCTTACATTAACTTTATTGAAAATGGAACAAAAACAAGCTCTGAAAGATGTTCGGTTTTGGAGCATTTCACAGCAAATATCCACGTGGCACCCTACTCACAAAGTATAGCAACTACCTCTTCACTTGATCTTAGCCAAAAGGCCGAGAAGCGATGTGCACCTACCTCTTATGTGCAGTTTTTTGCCATGTACAAAGGACTCCTATATAAAAGCCTGAACTTGAGATTGATCAGGCTTTTATTTTCTGGTACTGTAGGTCTCTCTCTCTCTCTCTCTCTCTCTCTCTCTCTCTCTCTCTCTCTCTGTGTGTGTGTGTGTGTGTGTGTTTAGAGCACCTTTAGGTTTACTCTCAGTGTTGTGCATTCTGTGGGTTTGGACAAATGTATAATGATGTATACCCTCATAATAGTATCATGCAGAGGAGTTTTGGAACTGTGAATCTACATCCATTGTTCACACTCTAGAAGTCCAATGACTCTAGGGAAGTTTGGGGAGCAAAGGAAAAGATATATTTAGAGAGCTAGCAAACTCAAGAAGAGGGAAGCTCTCACCGACAAAGAGCATCTTGCTTAGGGTTTTCAAGCAAAGGCTTAGACAGCATGGATAGGCATATTGGACAGGAGCGTACCAAGGTAGTTCCAAAGTCCAGGGTAGCTCCACATTTTGGGTAGGCTGCTCTTCTGACACACGGGCTGCTTTTATCTGTTGGTCACTGGATATTCTAGGTGCTGTAAACCTAAACAAAAGTTATAATTAGAAAGTCTTATGACTCGTGTTTTTTCAGTTTCTTTTCTTTTCCCAGGAACAGTTAATCATTATTAGGATACAAAAGGCAACTTTTCTCTGGAAAACGGAATGATAGCAAAAGGCTGCTTTTCCTCAGGAGGACAGTGGGGGAGATAGAGAAAAAAGAACTTTCTCTTGGAGGGCAAGGGAGATGACATTCGCTGGAGAATAGATTTTTACCCATGGGGTAGCTTCAGTTAGAGGTGTCATCTACAGCAAAGCTAGGGGGAGGCTACTAATGTATTACAGATGTGTGACTTCCAAAATTAGTGATTTTTTTTTTTGAGTACTGGAAATTGAACTCAGGACCTTTTCACTGAGCTATATTCCCAGCCTTTTATTTTTTATTTTGAGACAAGGGTTTTTTAAGTCATGAAGTGGCCAGGCTGGGCTCTGGGCTTGCAGTCCTCTTGCCTCAGCCTCCCAGAGTGTTGGGATTACAGGTGTGTGCCACCACTCCCCGCTCCAAAATGAGTGGATTTTAAAAGTCAACTAAGGGCGAATGGAGCTAGAGGGTTTGTTTAGGTTCTTCCTTGCTAAAGTTTTACTACCCTAAAAATCTCTTGTTCTCTATTCATTCTTCCTGTATACTCCAAACCCCCAGCATAAACTGATCTTTTTACTGTCTTCATAGTTGCGTTTTTGAGAGTATCAGATAGTTGGAATCAGACAGTATAAAGCTTTTTCAGATTGGCTTCTTAGTAATATGCAATTAAGTTTCTTCCAAGTCGACGTCACTTGATAGCTCATTTCTTTTTGTGCTAAATAACGTTCTATTGTCTAGACATACCACTGTCTATTCACCTACTGAAGGACATATTTGCTGCTTTCCAGATTTGACAATTATGAACAAAGCTGCTATAACACCATGTGCAGATATTTGTGTGGGTATAAGTTTTCAACTCATTTGAAGACATCAATGAGCATAATTGCATAGATTGTGTGGTAAAATTATGTTTAGTTTTGCAAATAACCACCACACTGGCTTTTAAAGTGGCCCTACTTTCTTGGATGCCCCAACGATACATTAGAGCTCCTGTTGATCCATATCTTTGCTAGTGTCTGATGTCAGTATTTTGCATTTTTGCCGTTTTAATATGGGTGTGGTGGTAGCTCATTTTAATTGCAATTCCTTAATGACCTATGAGATTGAGGATCTTTTTATATACAGATGCTCCTCAATTTATGATGAAGCTATGTCCTGATAAATTCCTTGCAAGTTGAAAATATAAGTTGAAGATACATGTAATAAACCTGTGATAGTTAACTGTCGTGTCAGTTAGAATGAGAAACGCCCAGCTGATTGGTTTAGAACAATTCTGGGTGTGTCTGGATAATGGATTCACTGAAGAGGGAAGAACCACCCTGGGTGTGGGTGGCACCAACTAATAGGCTTGTAGCCTGGATGGACTAAAAAGGGAAAGAATAAGGAAGTCTTGCATCTGCTTTCTTGGAGGAGCTCCAGTCTTTGCCATCACCTTTGGAGGTCCATCTCCACGCTTCCAGCGCAGATTCTTCAGCCTTGCAGTGCAGCCTCTTCAGCCTTCCAGCATTACAGTCTCTTTTTGAACTTTGGGCAGTGCACCTGCTGGGAAGGAAAAATGGCCAGATGTGCAACTATATATCGATTCATGGGCTATAGCCAATAGTCTGACTGGATGGTCAGGGATTGGAAAATTAGTGACAAAGATATTTGGGGAAGAAGTACGTGGACAAACCTCTCCGTATGGGCAAGGGATGTAAAGATATTTGTATCTCATGTAAGTCCTCACCAAAAAGTGCCCTCAGTAGAAGAAGACTTAAATAATCAAGTGGATGGGATGACCTGCTCTGTGCATAGCAGTCAACCTTTTTCTTCAGCCACTCCTGCCATTGCCCAATAGGCTCATGAACAAAGTGGCCATGGTGGCAGGGATGGAGGTTATGCATGGACTCAGCAGCACTGACTTCCACTCCCAAGGATGACCTGGCTGCACCCACTGCTGAATGCCCAGTATGCCAGGAGCAGAGACCAACACTGAGTCTCTGATACGACACCATTTTCTGGAGTGATCTGCCTGCAACCTTGTGGCAGGTTGACTATATTGGATTACTTCCATCATGGAAAGTGTGGCACTTTGTCCTTTCTGGCATAGACACTTATTCCAGGTATGTATTTTTTTTAACAGTAGCAAAGTTTATTAAAGGTAGGAAAAGAAGCAGGTTCTGCAGAGTGAGTTTAGGCCAAGTAAAAGTAGGAAAAGAAGTACACCATACAGTGTGAGGGTGGGCCACCATGGAAGAGAGCACACAGTGGCCTCCAGATGTGGATTTGCCTTCCTTGCATGTAGTGCTTCTGCCAAAACCACCATCTGTGGACTCACAGAATGCCTTATCCATCGTCATGATATATCACACAGCATTGCTCATTTAACAGCAAAAGAAGTGAGGCAACGAATGGGCTCATGTTCATGGAATTCATTGGTCTTACCATGTTCCTCACCATCCAGAAGCAGCTGGATTGATAGAGGGGTGAAATGTCCTTTTGAAGATCAGTTACAGTGCCAGCTAGGTGGCAATACCTTTGGGGCTAGGGCAAGGTTTTGCAAAAGGCTGCATATGCTTTGAATCAGTGTCCATTATATGGTACCCTGTCTCCCATAGCCAGGATTAATAGAATCAAGAGGTGGAAGTAGGAATGCTACCACTCACCATTACCCCTAGTGACCCACTAGCAAAACTGCTACTTCCTAGTCCCACAACCTTACGTTCTGCTGACTTGGAAGTCTTAGTTCCAGAGGGTGGAAGGCTTGTATTACCTTCACTCCTTTGTCAAATATCTACTGACTATATTTATGTGGGTCTATTTCAGGGCTCACTATTCTGTCCCACTGAGAGTTTTATCTATGCTTTCACCACAATCACAATCTCCTATTACTTTATA